TTTTTTATTATTTTTTAAATTTTGAAATAAATTTTACTTATTACTATTATAGATACTTAACGGCTAATAGTATAATATTATAGATTTTAGACCTACTTTTAAGTATGTGGATTKTGTTCTATAATTGCAATAAATAATTATATAAATAAAATTAGTAAATCAAGTTAATATGAAATTTGACTAATTAGGTTTTGTTTAGATGGATGTTAGACCTGTTTAAAACCGGACGAATCAGAGATTTAGATGAAACCGATTTGTACACGACATTGGACGATCAGATATCATCATCGTTAGGCGATAAATTAGAAAAGTAAATTAATTGAAATTCAAAGTCATATTTTTTATATTTATGATAAAATTAATTTTTGATTTGTTTTTAGGGAATGGCGTTTAGAATTGACCAATGCATACTCTAAGAATCGTACCCCTAATCTACTGAGAACTTTGATTAAAATGTTTGGCTATAAATATATATTTATTGGATTTATATTTGCTATCTATGAAATTATTTTTATGTAAGAACCATGTCTGTTTGTTATACTTTTTAATAAATAGAGTCTAGAAATTTATAGATATTAGGYTTTACCGGCGACCGTGCTTGATATTATTGTTTATAATCAGTAGCGTAGTCATGGGGGGTTTGGGTTCAACCCCTTCCCCTTGGCCTAAGAGAAAAATAATACAGTGATAACTCATTAGTTTTTATCGTATAATGCAGTGTCGCAGTGATAACACATTAATATACATTAGGTACCACAAAAACATAGAACGTTCTATGACGAAAATGAAGTACGAATCCGAACGGTTAAACGATTTTAGTGATGTCCTGATGTGCAAAAGATAAATAMCCCCTTAGATAATACCTGGCTACGCCACTGCTTATAATAATGTAGGACGTAGGTGCATATTATACTTACATATATTTTGTGAACTTGTTTCCCATTATTTATGCTGGCGGACGTATTTCTTATGTACTATGTGTGTTTTCTGTAAAATATGATATACACAGTGGCGGCTCGTGAGTTTTTAATGAAATAGTACATATCCAAAAAAATATTACCAATATCATAAATATTATAAATCGTAATAAAAAATTGTTTACAAATTTTAGTTATTTACAAATTAGWTACCTTTTATTTTGTTGAATATGATTGTTGTTTTGAATTTCTGATAGTGAATAATGATCAAGTAACATTATCAGCTGATAATCGAAATATAATTAATGAATGAGAGTAAAAATAAATTATAATGTCTATGCCGACACAGAATAGATAAATGCCGACGTACAACGGCATTGCGACGTCGAAAATAATTCGCTGAAAACAAGTTATTTGGTTATGTGCACAAAACAAAAATATGCACATCAATTTCGTTATAACGCGGATTGCGTATTTTGACTGGTTTTAATTTTACACTGTACAAATGTGCAGAGCGATTGTGTGCACTACTGCACCATTTCAATACACACCGATGTCGTTCCGTCGCGGAAAACCGCCTGACTGCTGACTGTTTGGCTTCGAAAAATCCCAATCCAAATATTATATTATTTTCTTAATATTCTTAATTTATATTATTATATTTTGAAAAATAATCTTAATAATACAGGTACTTAGTTGTATTATTATGATTTATGTTTTAAATTTTTCTTGGRCTTGGGTAGGTAGTGCACATATACACGAGCCTCCACTGGATACTCAGTATTTTTATGACGCTTTCGTGTGATGTACAACCTGTTGTTATATGGTTTATAGAGGATCTATGCCACTACTAGTTGGCGGGTTATTGGCATATTTCAACCCAGATGATGGTTCCAGTACTACTGACTTGAGACATGCATACATGTATGCATCTGGTATACTATTTTCTTTGTTAATTACAATGGTATTAAAACATTTAAGTATTGAAAAAAACTTATTATGTGCGATGAAGATCCGAGTTGCTTGCTGTTCTATCATATACAGAAAGGTAAATCTCATATTGTGATAAGGATAACTGATAAGTATCAATTATATTGGAATTTCGAAGTYAAAGTTTTAAAAAACATTAATAACTATAACAGTTTATTTAGCGTGTTTATAGGTAATATTTTATTTGTTGATTAATTATCTCAGTGGTCTTCAACCTAATAACGGTCCGCGTGCCGGTTCCGGTCCACCCAGTTTTTCGAATCGACTCGCCAAGCTAATTTTTTTTAAATATATCTTATATAGGAATATTATGAATTACTAAAAATACTTACACATTTAAAATCACGTTTCTTCTCTATCCCTATCTAAAAATGTTTGGCTCTTGATGCCGAAGCGTATCGCAGATTTGGACCATCATAAACAAAGGTTGGAGACCTCTAAATTGTCTTATTATAATATCTATGTAGTTTTGACGTGTAACAAATGACAAAATATAGACATATATATTAATATTTTATAGTAAATTATCAAGTTGATCCAACGATTTAAAAAAAAACCATTCAAATATTTATTTAACTGTATGTGACAATAATGATATTATAAATCGACCATTGACATTTTTTGACGGAGATTTAATGTTTGAATCTTGACAAGATTAAGTAATTTCATGATTATAATGTTATGGTTAATTTTGGTAGCTACTTATGGATCTCGTGAATGTTTGAAAGAAAGAAACAAATAAAATAAAAATGGACATTAATATTAAAATTATATATCACAACTTATTATACAATGAAAATTATTGTATCTGTGAACGAGATAAAATGTCGTAGGTACATGTTCCCATGGATTATTTTCAAGAACGTTTCCTTGTTAGCTAAAAATGTATTACCACACACCTATCACCAAAAATTAAATTGCGCACCCTTGTAATATATTTGTCTATAACATCTAACTGATAAAAAATAATGTCTAACAATTTTAATATTATAATACCTATAAGGTATAATTACATTATAACTTTATATTACTGTAAATTATTAGATACCTTCAACTGTACTTTCATATTATATTATAAACGGAGGTATTATTGGTTGTATTTTTAAAACAAATAACATAATATAAAAAATAATGTTTGTTATTTACTATATTTATTTTAACCAGGCATTGTGTTTAAGTCAAACTGCTCTTGGCGAGATCACTGTCGGGCAAGTAATAAATTTAATATCAAATGATGTTAGTCGATTTGACTTATCATTTACATCAATGCATTATATATGGATTGGTCCCATGCAAACAATTGTGGTCACATATTTTTTGTGGMAGGAAATTGGCGTATCATCAATAATTGGATTATCTACGTTTTTATTTTTTATTCCTTTCCAATGTACATTGAAAAATATTGGGAAAATTACCATGTAATAATTATTAGCAAACTGTTTATTTCATTTTCAGGTTGGTTGGGTAAAAAATTGTCCGAATATCGATTAAAGACTGCTAAAATTACCGATGAAAGAATTCATTTAATGGACGAAATAATTTCGGGAATACAAATAATCAAAATGTACACTTGGGAAAAACCTTTTACAAAACTTATACAGCATTCTAGAAAGTTTGTGATATTATTTTAAAATATTAATTATTATTCTATTTTTGCTATAATAATACATGTTTTAATTCGTATATTGATGTTGTTACCTATAGAAAGGAAATTAAACAAATTCGAAGGGCTTTATTTCTAGGAGTTTTAAATTTTTCGTTTCAAATAGTTCAAACTAGACTTCAACTCTTCATTAGTATTTTATCATTCATGTTACTTGGAAACGAWATCTCAATCAGAAAAGTAAAATGCTATGAATAATTTCCTAAATACCGAAAGTGTACCTTTAACGATTATTATTTTATTATAAAACAGATAAATAAATTATAGGTACCTACTCATTATTTTTAGGTTTTTGTCGTAACTGCATTTTACTCTGTATTGCAACAACCAATGTCGAAGTTATTCGGTCGAGGTTTATCGCAATTAGCTGAACTGAAAATATCTGTAAAACGCATACAGGTACGTAAATAGATATGAATTTTCAGATGGTTAGAATGTATGTTTTAATCTTGATGTATGTAATTAATATGCATATTAATTATAATAATTTTCTTATTTATACATTTTTTATGAAATTGTTGTGCAGAAATTTATGTTGCTTGAAGAAAAAGATAGCGAAGTCGCAAATCTCTCAAAATTTGCAGTCAAACCATTAATAATTAATGTTATAGAATCGGACATTAATACAGATAATATTGATTTTGATATTGAAACAAACAGTGAATGTTTGAATAGTTTTGGTATAGTTATTTCGAATGCTAGTGCAAAGTGGACAGACACGCAAACGTGTAATACTTTAAAAAACATTAATCTAAATATCAAATCAAGACGATTGGTAGCAATTATCGGACCAGTAGGAGCTGGAAAAGTGCATAAAATCTGCATAATTTATCATTTGTATAACTGTTAATTATAAAAAAAAAAAAAAATGATTACAGAGTTCATTATTACAAGCGGTTTTACGTGAATTGCCGCTTACAGCAGGCAAAATATCGATGTGCGGTAAAGTGTCTTATGCATCACAAGAACCATGGCTGTTTGCCGGCACTGTTCAACAAAATATACTTTTTGGTTCACCGATGGATAATGAGCGTTATAAACAAGTAAAAATTGAAAGTTAATAATTAATATTAAATATTTAACTTTAATATTATATTAAAAAACTAAGTTCATGTAGGCTAACAATTTATATAGTTGAAGCCTTTTACCAAATGTCCAATAAGTATTTATATATAAATATTATATAAAATATTCACAATAATACATCTTCTTACAAATTGGTTATGAATTAGGTTGTAAGTGTATGTGCATTAAAAACTGATTTTAAACAGTTTCCATATGGTGACAGAACTTTGGTGGGTGAAAAAGGTATTACCCTAAGTGGTGGCCAGAGAGCGAGAGTAAATTTAGCTAGGTGAGTAACAATTACAAAATAAACTGTAAATAATAACTTCAACGTGTTTGGGTTTAGAGCGATTTATAAACAAGCGGATATATATTTATTGGACGATCCTTTGTCGGCAGTTGATACAGCAGTTGGCAGGCATTTGTTTGAGAAATGCATCAAAGGTATAATTTTATACATTTTTTTTTTTTTTAATTTAACACTACAATAATTTTATTTCTGTTTAATAGATTATCTCAAAGAAAAAACATGCGTTCTTATCACTCACCAAGTACAATACTTGACTGATGTCAGTCAAATAATTATAATGGACACTGTTAGTATATACCTAAAAACAGAACGCTCAAATACACCGGAAAATCTTAAGCGGATCGGTGGCGGACAGTTTTTAATGTGTTTAAATTAGGCAATTTTCAAATTGCATGAATGCAAGTCTTGTAAATGTGTAGGCACTAGGCAGTAGGTAATTAGTGTGTATGACTGCGTGCAAAAGAAATAACAGAACGCTCTTGGCGCTCTTGCTCACTATCATCGTGTAGATATCACCACCTCGGCGAGCGTGCGTGAACAGTATAAACAATTTAATATTTTCATTTACATGTACTTTTTGTCTATCCAACCGATCGATCTAATAAATAATAATGTGATAATATTTTAAAAAGTTGATCTGTATTCGTTACAATGTTTGTATGAGATCGGTCAATTCACATTTTAAGATTTCTAATTTAAATTCCGAATAATTAACGTTTGAAAATTATGGAATTTCTAAATATTCAAACTAAATTTATAGTTGTTGGGGGATGAAACTGGAAAAGTGGGCTGACCAATCTCAAGTAGATACAATAGCAAATTAAAATCAGTTTTAAAAGTTAATACTATAATAATATTAGGTCGATCAATATGATGGATAGAGATTGGTATGATTTGGCTAGAATAACTATCTGCTGCTGATCCTCTTAAATTATAAATCAAATGCACCGTTGAATATTTACAGATAATAAAGATACTAAATAGTATACTAACTTTAAGATAATCACTCTAAGCAAACAATACATAATTAAATATAATAAAGTATAGGTACAAGGTACTTATAATTTCCTGTAGTAATTTTAATTTAATTTGAACTGTATTGAAAATAATTCAGAAAAAAACTATTTACCTATAGACAGAAGAAATTTTTGATTTTTGAAATTATTTTTTTTTTTGAAATGCCTATAAAAAAAAATGTGGTTATCCAAAAAATCTTTAAAATTTAATATAAGGTTTATTATAATTTTTACTTGTCGTATTAAAAAAAAAAAAATCAAAAATCGTTACAATTTTTAATATAAGCATTTATTATAAAATTCAAATGTTTAAGAAATATGTCAAAATCGTGAAAATTTGCATGGAATTATGAAGTTGAAAATTACCTAAGGTGAAAAATCCAACACAAGGTTCTTCATAACTTTGTCTTCAAATAACTGTAAAAAATAAGCTCCAGAGTCGATATAGAAAACATTTGTGAGCGTATAAAATGTATATTTAAATATTGTGTGCGTATAACATATAATAAGTTTAAACATGGGTAATATAATATATCCTAGATTGACAAATCATCTCCGTTCATTTTTTTTCGTATATAATGATACCTGTCATTGCATTCAAATTTAACACATCTATCTACTATACAGMAAAGCGATACCCACTTGCCCACTTTTTTATAAGTGTTTTTAAAGTTCAACATTTGTCGAAATTCACTCAAAACCATAATATTTGAGACAAATATATAGGCATAATAATTAACAGATAATTATTTTATAATAACTACCGTGGTCTTGGCTAAAATTAGTTATATCTACCTATTACTTATAGAAAGTAAATGACTCTTGTGGAACAGGCACCTATCCAAATTATATATGAATTATAAAATATTTTTAGAAAATGTGTAGAAGCCAGAGCACACCGTCTCTTCTCAGAAACAATTTTTTGTATGCAATGATTCATCATTGTTAACTAAAATTTAACACATATATTATTTACATTGAGTGCAGTGACTATCTGAATGTTAAATTACATTCAAAAGCAGTAGAGTGACATCCCGGTTTTTGTATTAAAATAATATTAATTTGTAAATTTTTAATTGAAAAACATCTCCTTTAGTATGTATTATGCTTATATATTAATCTTTAATTAAATGATATAATATCATCGTTTTAGTGGGATAATTTCGATGTTAAAATTATACGTAAATTATATTTTGATAATAAAAATAAAATATTGATTAGCGTAATTGCAGATGTATACAATTTTGTACCAAAACATTTCGTTCAAAATTGTTTACAAAGCTTAAAAAGTAAAAACAATATGTACATTTTTTGGATTTTTGATTTTCAGGGTGTTAATCCTACAATTTTTTTGTTTGTTTTTATTTTAGGGAAGCATAGTAGCTGAAGGCTCTTATCAAGAACTACAAGCCACCACTTTTGAGTTTGCAAAATTACTTGGATCTTCGGATGATACAATATCAAATGAGCTAAAATATGATACCATCAACAGTTCGAATGAACATTTGGTTTCAACATTGTTTGATGGTTCTAACAAAAGTATTTCATCGTCTCAAAATGATATGAATATTAGCGGAGCTCTAGCTGCAAAATTAAATAATACGGACAAAAGGTCATCTGGCAGTGTTTCGATTAATGTTTATAAATCGTATTTATCTGCTAACAGGAGTGTTATTAAAGTATTTTTTTTACTTTTTTGTTTTATTCTTACCCAACTATTGACCAGTGGTTGTGATTATTGGATTAGCTTTTGGTATTGTAACGATTAAAGAAATAAAATGTACAAATTTATTTTTATGTATGTGCATTTTTAGGATAACTCGTGAAGAAGATATTTTGCATGATACAATTAGTTATAATGTATCAAATAATAATGGTACATTATCGTCAAATGATTCGTCCAGTACATCAATGTTTTCGTCAAATTTTCGTCAAAACTGCATGATCTTATACGCCGTTATAATATTTTTTTTGATTATAATCATTATCGTTAGGACATTGTCTTACGTATCGTTCTGTATGAGAGCTTCAATAAATGTACATAATCAAATGTTCGATAGGTTTATTAAAGCCACGATGTTTATCTTCAACACGAAGTCTTCTGGTAATTATTTAACCTTACCTAATATAACTATATTTCAAACGGTTTAGAATATAGCGTATTATGTCATATGTACATTTTTTTTTGTTCAGGTGACATGTTGAATCGTTTTTCAAAGGACATCGGAACTGTCGATGAACATTTGCCATACATTATTTTTGATTGTTTGCAAGTAAATATTAAATATTTTATTTAAGATTGWGTGATTCCGACTGTTTTTAATAGTTTATTTGAAGGAGTTCAATATGTAAAAATCATCCTATGTTTTGCAAATGCGTCATTTAAATGTGTGTGTATTTAATGATTGAGTGAGTAAAACTCAATGACTGCAGCATATACCTCTCGTATGCACTCAAAAAATAAGCCAACCTTTAGTTAGCAAGTAATAATTTTTACCTCAATGTATTTAAATAAGAAATAAAAAAGTTTAAAATTAAAATATGAGATGACCAAYCTTCATTTCGATTACATTTTTAGATTTGTATCACATTACTAGTTTAATTGTATGCCTATGAACAAAATATGGCAGKGGTGGTCAAACGAGGATATCCCCCCTCAAAATCTTTGTTTTCAAAACTTATAAAAATTATAGAAATAGTAATATTTTTTTATATATAAGTATTTATTAAGATAAAACTATTCACAMTTTTCGATATCAAAATCAAAATCTAAAACAGCTATAAAATTAGTCTCTCCCCATGATCAAATTATTTGAATAACGCTGAAAATGGGAATGTTTGGTAAAAAAAAATCACTTGGTTTTGAATCCCTTAACACGCCAATCATACCTATATGCTCACTATAAATGATATATTTAATAAATATAAAATATAAAATAATACAATACAGAGCATATTGAAGTAATTAATTGTTTGTTTTTCTATATTTTCAATATCTAGCTACTAATGTTACTTTTGGGTATCATATTTATTGTTGGATTTGTTAATATTTATCTCATGGTACCAACATTTATTGTGATAGTATTATTTTATAAGATTAGAGTTTTCTATTTACCTACGTCAAGAGGTATCAAACGGTTAGAAGGAATTAGTAAGTATATTTTGTGTATAGTAAATAATCAACACTATTTGACAATTTAACATGTAATTTTTATTTACACAATTTTAAATAGCACGAAGTCCTTTATTTGCTCATATGAAAGAAACATTACAAGGTTTAACAACGATAAGGGCACACAAAGTAGAACAAATTGTAACCAATGAATTTGACAAACATCAAGTGAGTAATTAGTTAATACACTAAGTTAATTGTATGTATATATTATATATTATTATAATAGTTAATCATTTTTAATTAGGGCGAAGTGATGATTGTGTATTTTTCTTAAAATAATGTGTATTTTATGTTTGTTGTTTAACTTTTTGCTTTTATTTGTATCTGTAGACACTTCTTATATTCTGGAGTTATTTAAATTGGATTTAAATGGTATCTAAATGAATCAAGTGCTAATCTAGTGTAACGTGGTCGGTTATTATAGATATAATTACCGTAGCCAGGCCGCCAGGGGTAGATATATATAGGTATATACAAACAGGATCTTAAATATATTTAAATAACTAGGATWYCCTTTCAGTTATCATTAAGTTTTATTRTATATTAAACACTTACAAATAATAATACTCACAAGCTATATAAATTATATTCTATCCTACTATTTTACTGTATCGTAGTTATATATACGGAGTTCGATATTCATYGAGCGTTGAGGTGATGAAGTCTAAGGTACACAACGAACTAACTTACTTCATACATGGTGTGTATTGCCTGTATTGGCCATAGGCCTTACAATTATGAGTGTGTGTTAATATTATTGTATTGATCAGCAGTTGATCGTACATAATGTTAAGTGTGWAGACGTTTTAGTACATATACATATACTTAGGTATCATGTAACATATTATAATTGTTACACTAGTTATAGTCATTTAAATTTTTTTTAAATTTTTTTTCGTTTCAAAAAGCTAGACAATTTAATACTTGATCCATCATAAGTTATTTTTATTGCGACCCCCCCAACAAAATGCTAATGGCCATAGTGTCGATGTTTATGACCAATAAAAAATATACTATATTATAGTGTCTCCAGTCAGAATCGATTTTTACCGTATAAAATAATTTATCAATTAATTMAAATTCATTAACACATTCGTCACAGTSATCTACTCAATATCGAGTTACACTCAGCAGTCGAAACCTCTATTATATCAACAGACTAACTTCCCCTGATTTTTATATAATTACTTTTTACACAATTTAGGACTTACATTCTTCAGCTTGGGATATGTTTATTTGTGCGAATCAAGCATTTGGATTTTGGTTGGATCTATTCAGCATTATTTATATAGGTATTGTAATATTCAGCTTCTTCGCGGTAGAACAAGGTGTGTTTGAAATATTTTAGACAAATGAATGTCATTTATTATATTGTTATTCATAAAGGTTGTTCTATATATTCATTTAGATCATTATGGAGGAAATATTGGTCTAACTATTACTCAAACGATTAGATTGACTGGAATAACCCAATGGGGAGTAAGACAATTATCGGTATTAGAAAACCAAATGACTTCTGTCGAAAGAATACTTGAATACACAAATTTACCACAGGAAGCTGATTTTCAAACTCCTTCTGGTACCTACCTATGATAAAATTTATAAAATAATACTCCAAATTGTTYATAAATTACATTATTATAAATTATTGTTGTTTAATTGTTCTTCAGAAAAAACACCTCCCAAAGAATGGCCTTTTTTGGGAAAAATTGAATTTCAAAATTTTAATCTTCGTTATAGTCTAGATTCACCATAYGTGTTAAAAAATCTCAACTTTCAAATACAGCCGATGGAAAAAGTAATCATAGAAATTCCATTTAATTTTTACTCAATATAGTAATATAATGGTTATGTTACATTTATTTAGGTAGGAATCGTTGGTAGGACCGGTGCAGGAAAATCGTCCATTATCGGAGCATTGTTTAGATTTGCTCTCAATGAAGGATCTATTATTATCGATGATATAGAGATACATAAGTTGGGATTACATGACCTGAGATCTAAGTTTTCCATCATCCCCCAAGAACCTGTTTTGTTTTCAGGAACAATGCGAACAAATTTAGATCCATTTGATGAATACCCTGACCTGGTTCTTTGGAACGCTTTATATGAAGTAATTATACCTTATATTGTTTAATATTTATTTAAATGTTTTATTTTTCAGTTTACATTGAGTAATGAGTTTGAATATTATAGAGTTTAATTTGAATATGATCAAAAACTGTTATTTTATTATTATTACAGGTGGAACTTAAAACTGTTGTTGAAAGTTTGCCTGGTGGTTTAAACACAAAAATGACTACTTTTGGTTCTAACTTCAGCGTTGGCCAAAGACAGTTATTATGMTTGGCCAGGGCTATAATTCGAAATAATAAAATCATAATATTGGATGAAGCTACTGCCAATGTCGATCCACAGTAATAAATACTCCAATTAATTGTTATTGTCAATTATATTTTATAGTTATAATTATTTATATCCTATGTCATTTTTTGTCTCACAGAACCGATGTGTTGATTCAAAATACAATTAGGAATAAATTTAAATTATGCACAGTTTTAACAATTGCTCACCGATTGAATACTATTATGGATTCTGAACGAGTACTTGTTATGGACGCGGGTACAGTAGTTGAATTTGATCATCCATATAATTTATTGAAAAAGAAAGATGGAGTTTTTTACAAAATTGTAGAAAAAACGGGAATAGTTACATCTGAATTATTGCATGATATAGCTTCCAAGGTACCTATTGAATTACTTGTTATTTTTTCTAACTGCATTTTTATGACTTTTAATTTATTTGTTTAGAGTTTTAAAGTTCAGATGAAATGAAAATTTGCAATCAATATAACTGTAAAAAGGTAATATATTCAGACACCTGCGGTCTTCAATAAAAATATTGTTTAATATTTTTTATATGTGTACATGACATATATATATTAATGTGTAACTTTTATAGAGTCTTTGGTGATAATATAAATTCTTATTTTACTAGACAAATCTAAAATTGTTTTTGTTATATAGYTCTACATATTATGTAGCAATAATATACCCATCGTTGTTTTTAAATCATTTTATTTCAATAGTAGATCTTATCAAGTCACACTTCGGGATGTCATTGATTACAAAAATACAATTCCTTAAGTTTAGTTTTGACTGATTAATAAAATTAAAAAACTCGTTGCAAGCATAAAGTGTCGAACTTCGTCGTCGGTTGCACTGCTGCAGTATCGTTGGAAGTGTTTTCGTAACGCCTATGATCTATAAACGAAAATAAATTGCTACGGTGCTGAGTAGACAGAGACATGATTCTTGGGAAATTCACTGATAATTTTTAACTGTATGTTTAATGGATTGGCATCGAAGTACGTCGATTGCACAAGTCTTTCGATTAGTTATTCAAAAAGCATAAATCGATTATTGTAGACGATTGGGGACGAACGGCRAGTCTCCAATAACAGACCTCGGGGCCGCCCCAAGTGTGAGCTATATTTTAATTTTATAAAGTAATTCATTATGCYGTGYGCGCAATGTAATACTTTAATGAATAATGTTATTATCCTAACGGCATCTGGGTATAGGAAATCTGTTTCGTGGGAGGTGCTCGCCGGACGACGATATATCGGTCCGCGCGCGTCTTCATTAAGGGCTCGCGATATAATTATTCGCCGGCGGCACTGGCGTAGACTATAATAATGCTATAATTATAATACACACACGTATAMTATTGTACACGGCCAGTGCAGGCACGCGTGTGTTATTAATATTATTTTTATTTTTTTAAACGTATATACACGAAACGAAGAGTTTTGTTTGTTATTTATTATACTTTTATACTGGATAAGTACAGCCCCCGGGGTCACGCGCGTACCTACCTTTAAT